TTGAAGTACTTGTCCCTAAACTGGCGCACTTTGCATAAATTTCAACTTGAAGCATTGCACTTACTTGACACATTTCGTTTACTCAGTCAGCGTTGCCTTCCTTGCCGCCTCACCTTTCGACCTCATTCAACTTTGTTGTTGTTCATTTGGAAAATGCAAAAACAAAAAAAAAAAAAAAAAAACGGCGAAGAGGGAAAGTTTTGTCTTTTGGTCTTGCTCTCGCAACAATTTACCGTTAAAAGCTCAACATTGTTACACTGGTTTTTCACTTTTCACTAAGTACCGGGTTTGTGTTACACATAAAAAAAAACTGCACCGAGGAAATATAGCCGCAGGGAGGTGAGGGGGAAAAACTGGGATAGTGAAGTGGAATCCAAGGGTTCACTGAGTAATCTGCTCAAGTTTCGCCAGCGTCTTTGTGCAACGTGCGAAGTTTGTCACTCCGTCAGTGAAATGGTACGGGGAAATGCAAAAAACAACAGCAAAACGGCAACACTTTGTTTCTGGGAAAACAACACTGAGAGAAAATGCTTGGTAGGATGATAATATTTTCAATGAAATATGACCTGTTGCAACTACTTGCTTTTTTACTTCCCTTAAAGCAGCACAAGGGAGTCTTCTAGCTTGAAAATAATCCATTTACATTAAATATATTCTACTTAAGTCCATCTTAATTTCTCTCTGTGCACTTTCTCTCCCCTTAATCCACTTTTACGTAGAGACATCAGCACACACACACCTGGCGGGAAACTCTAGTGATCCGGCAGGTGGGCGGCATTTGAGGGCGGGGCAGTTGTCGTGTCAACACAAGTTTTGCATTTGGCGATGTGTTTTTCTTCTGTGTCCCCTCTTTTTTTTATTTTATTTTGCCCCCTGCAAGTTTGTTAAATGAGTTTTCATAGTTTTTCGGGAAGGGGGAAAGGCCAAACCCTTTCCCTGTCTGTGTCGCTGTCGCAGTGTTTGTGGAAAATTAATATTTTCCCTTAGCCCATTTCACTCTTTATAAAGTTACCCATTGTCGTCACTAGGGTGCATTTGCTTAGCGTCAAAAGTTTTATTTTCTGGCGGATTTTATTAAAAAACCCCAGCTGGAAGTAATATTTTCCAAAAAAAAAAGAAAGTTTTCAAAACGTAATGGGAGTTGGAGTTTTGTACGAATAGAGCGAATATTTTTTATCTGAGAAACAAAGGGTTATGCAAGACGTGTTAGAATTTATACTAACACATTAAGTGTAACACATAATATTAATAATAAATTCCAAAACTTTGTCTACTTTCCTTCAGAGATCAATCAATAATCGGGCAATTAATCAACATATTCATAACCTTTAATCAGGCTAATAGCCTGAACCAGAACAACATCAACAAATACTTTATCATCATCAACATTATAAGCTCGGAACCTCCATCGGCAATAATTAATCAATGGGATATAATAACCGTCATTAAACTAAACAAACACATTGTGCCATTCAGAGTTCCGTTCTGTTGCCGTTCGCATAAATTTCAATACCCAACCAGGTACATTACATTTAACCCATGATCACCCCCAAAAGCGCCACCCACAAAACATTTCCAATTAACTGCGGGTCTACTCCTCCCTCCCCCCCTCCAGTTTGGTAAATAATAATAATAATACCCGGGCAAATGTTTAATGATATGAAATTAATGCGCAAATATCAGCGGTGGCAGCGGCGGCTGCTTCTTTGCCATTAAAGCGAAATAGTAATGATGCAAAGGTGCCCGGATGTGGGTCCATAGAGAATTTTCACAGCTGTGGTGGTGATGCTGCCGGCAGGTGAAAATGTAAATGATATGCGATGATATCTGCCTCCAGCTGAGCGGAATAAATTTACTCTTTTTGGCCAGCCAAAGCCAGCAACAGCAGACAAAAGTCTACGTTTTTTTCTGAGAATTGACAGCAGCAGCAGCTCTTCCTGGAGTTTTGCAACATTTTGTATTTGTTCGAAATTTAAGACCCAAAAATGTATGCTATTGTTGATTTTCATTTGCATGCCAGTCACACAAGTACAATACATACATGCAAGAGATGGTTGCACTGGGAGAAAAAATATATATTTTTGAATGATTATATTTATATTATATTGTTTTTATATATATTTATGATATTTTTTTTTGTAAATTAAAGTTTCTAAAACTCATAACTAAGCCAAAAATTCATTACTTTTAATTCGGTAAGCTTTTCCATGCTTGTTTTTATTGTTTTGGAAAATTTATATACTCAATTTAAAGTTTTTAAAATTTTAAATTTTTATCAATTTTTTAAACTTCACTTTTCGAAATTTTACACCTTATAAAATGTGAACATTTTGAAAAAATTAAATTTTTGTCAGACATAGCTAGATCGAATCGGCTGTTGATACTGATCAAGAATATATATGATTTATAGGGTCGGAAACGACTCCTTCAATCTTTTGAAAGCTTCTGAATGAAATATAATACCATTCTTTGAGTTGATTTTTTCTATATTTTTATATGAGAATTGTTCAACAATTCAAAGCCTAAAAAACCCATAACTAAGCCAAAAATGCATTAATTTTAATCCTAAAAGCTTTCCTATGCTAGTTTTTAATGGGTTAAAAAATCTGCATACCCAATTTAAAATTTTTAAGAAGTCAAATTTGTATCAATTTTTCAAAGTTCAAATTTCATAATTTACACCTTATAAAATGTGAAAAATTTGAAAAAATTAAATTTTTTCGGACACAGCTAGACTGACTCGGCTGTTAATGCTGATCAAGAATATATATGATTTATAGGGTCGGAAATGACTCTTTCAATGTTTTTTAAGCTTCTAAATAAAATTATAATACCCTGGAATGGTATTAATATTGAAGAGGTTATTAGAGAGTATTAGACTTAAACGATTTTTTAGAGGTTAAGTTCAAGACAAACATGAAATTTCTAGCTCAATGATTTATTACGAAACTCATTAAAGCTAAAATGTATGTTTGGTTATTTTTATAAATTGAAAATTTAAAATGCTTGGCTAGAATATCTCTTCATTCGTTTCTGTGTAAGGAAAATTCATCAAATTATATTGTTCCCTGAGATTTTTTTATGACATTTTCCAGCCCACGCGAACACACACATTTAAGGCCTATTTATTTCTCACCCCCTACCCTCATCTAGCCATAAATACAATATTTCCCGCAACTTTTTGGGCAAATAGCAACAGATTTGATTTTACTCAGTTTCAGATTCAGTTTCGGGCAACGCTTTTGCTTTGGTTTTGGTTTCGATTTCGGGCCGACAGTTTTTATTGTCCAGCCAGGCGCCAAAAGAATGAGGAAGGAAGCTGGGGGAAAAGCGACGAAATACGCATGAAATTTGATTTGCTTCATTGAATTGATTTCATTTCATTTGTTTTGATTTGTTTCCCAACCGAAAAATACGCAAGAACGCAAATTGGAAACCGGACCCCGGATAACAAAAAAGAACTCCTCACACCATCTGAGTTTTAGTGAATTGGGAGAGTGTTGAAATGAATACATTTTGGGGCGTGTTTGGGGGCCAGGCTTTTGGATTTGGATTTGGATTTGGTTTGGTTTTGGTTACTGGCTCCCGGAATTGGGGGCGTGGCATTTGTGGCTTATGTTGATACTGTTGACTGACACGGCCAGCGGTGGTCCTGGTGCCTGTGCCTGACTTTTAGTAGTAGTTTATTTAGTTGTTGGAACGATCAACACTTGCCAGATTGCTTTGGCACTAAAGTGTCAGCAAATATTTTGGATGTCTGTGGAGTGGAGTGGAGTGGAATGTGGCCATGGCATCTGGCAACCGAATGCCGAATGTTCGGAATGGGCAAATGGTGCTTTTCCGGCGATGATTTTGCCACATGCGGCATAATGCCCCTCTAATGCCTAGAGTCTTGACTCGTTGTTGCACAGAGAGAAATGGGTAGTTACCAGATAAAAGTTACTTAAAGTAAGTGCAACTTATGGGAACTTTAAATACAAATATAAAGAAGTATTTACTTAAACCCATAACTCTTGTAATCTTGTGATGTATTGAAAGTTCTAAAAGATTCTGTAAATGTATTATTAAATGTATTATTCCCCCATCTTTCTTTCAGTGTAAAAATGTCTATAAGCCAGACAAAATAGGGCAACGAAAAGCCAAAGTCTGCCTCTCAATCGAACCCTTTTTCGGCCGCCTGTCAACGACGGCTGGCTAGGCAAGTGCTCCTAAAACGTAGCTAAACCATAAATCTGGTAGTTACTTGGACATCCTATAGATACATTATCTTAAATCAGATCATAAAGCAGCCAAGTCAGCCTAGCCTGATATGTATCTTGTATCGAGTACGCAATCGAATGCCACAAATAACCGAAACCCTTATCGTTACTTTAACCGCTCCCCAGTGAGTTTTTACGGATCGACGTTGGGGAAAAACTTTGGCAGTTTTCCACAACTGATGACCCAATTAATACGCTGACAAGCAACATTTATTTATTGCCAACTTTTCTGGCAAAGTGTGAAACGAAACAAAAAACTTTAAACTTAATGTTTTTGGCCTTATCCCTTGTCAATTCCCCATTGGAAAACCCGAAACTAATCATTATTGAAAACGTGTGGTGGAAACTTTTCTAATGCGCCTCCCCCATTGTGTCACGCCCACGGAAAATGGCAAAATGAACACAATACAAAAATAAAGAAAGAACAACAAGAACAAATTCAAAAGTTATAACGAAATAGCTTTGGTCAAATTGTTTTACAAGCCAATTGGGTTTGGTGTCCCTTTTTTTTCCTGGCCTTTTTGGAGTCCCGCTGCTGCGGTTCCTAACTCTTCGATTGGCAAAAGCCCAGGTCCCCGAGGCAGTTGGCTTTTCAAGTGCCAAGGGACCATCGCTTTTCATTCAAAAAAAGGAAAAAAAAGGGGTTAGCTAACTCTGATGGACTTTAAACTAAAGTTGGTGCTGGGTAAAAGAAATGTTAACTCTATGTTTGAATTTAGTTTTATAGGCTTAACTCTGTGGCGGCCTATTTACTATATTTTTTTACATAATAAACTTCAAATGAAACTTGTAATTTAACTGGAAAACATGGCTTTACCCTGCTCATTATATTCCCATTGTTGTTGAGGAGGCTTGACATTGACCTCCGGGAACTGAGATTGCTCTTGTATTTGTTGATGCTTCTGTTCGAACTCTTGGAATTGAGTTTGTTCTTGAGTCTGATGATAAGTTTGCTGTGGTTGCCTATAAGCCTTCATATTATTTCCCGAGGTTCGACGCTTCATCAAAGGCTTTTGATTGGATTCAGCTGCAAACTTGTTCTGTTGGATGTATTCCCATTCTTCGGGTTGCATCTGCTTGAAGTTCATCTTACGCAAAGGCGCTTGTACAAGTGTCTGATGATGAGTTGTTGGTTGTTGATCTCTATAGGTCCTAATTTCCTGTGTCGAGGATCGTCGCTCCCGCATTGCCTTTTGCCTGGCCTCGGCTGCCGCACAGGATGCCCTGAAGGCAGCCTTTTTGGTGTTCTCATAGTCCAACTTGGCATTACGCAATTGCTGGGCCAACAACTCAACTCGATGTTGAGCAGCATCCACAAGTTTGCTTTTCTCTTGCACCTCCTGATGGGCTCCACAAACAGCTGCATCAGCGGAGGACACGGTTTCCTGGGCAATTCGAACGGCATCCTGTAGTTTCTGCAATAAATCATTAGCCTGAGTCGATGTGAAGACGGCAGCATTGAGATTGTTCTGAGGGTTAAAGGTATATTAATAGATTGAAGGAATGTGAGGAGCTTTTATCGTTTACCTGTGATGCACCCACTGAGGCAGATTCATCCTGAAAAACGATCTCCGACTCGCGTACCTCGGCCCTCAGCTGTTCCACCATCTGCTGCTTCCCAGCCAGAGCTGCCTCGGCTGCCCAGGCAGCAGCTCCGGCTCTGTCGGCCAGCTGGAGCTTCACCTGGCGGGCGGCGGCCACTGCTGCCGGCAGCTGGGTATCCGAAGCCTTCTTGGCATCTTGGGCCGCCTGCAGGGCAATGTTGGAGGCAACCTGTTTGGGATTCAGGGGTCCGGACATACCCATACCGCCACCACCTCCGCCACCGCCACCGCCGCCACCTCCGCCATCTTGGTCACAGGAATTCAGGTTCTGGGCTGTGGGTTGCTGATCCTCCTGCCTGCAGTTGCCAGAACGCATCAATTGGTAGCTGCCTCCTAGTTTCGATGAGGCTACCCCCGTCACCAATAGGTAGACGAGGATGCCGAACAGGATCGGTGACTTGGGCGGTGAAAAACGCATAATTATGTGAGCCTTGAAAGTTACTGTGAAGTTTGTGCTTTTTCAACTCTCGGACTTGAGAATTTTTTACATTTCAAGTAGTTTCGCTAAGCCAACGTGGCGAGGGCTCTACGGAATAATATGTTTAACAAAGTTTCTTGTTAGAAAAACTCTGGGAACTCTCTGGGACAGGGCCGCATAACTTTTCCGCGCAATTTAACTTAACGTTTCTCGAGTTTCTCATTTTTATTTTCTTTTGTACTTTATTCACTTAGGATTTTTACTTTTCCTTTTCCTTGACATGAAAAGTAGACTAACAATGCATGTGCCAACAAATTCTTTTCTCGTTTTTTTTTCGGTCTGTTGTTGAACAAGAATTAATTGGGTCGTCAAAGTCCTTCAACCTCCGATAAGCTTTCAGCCTTATCGAAATGGCAGCTAGGAGAGGGAGCAATAAAAATGGGAAAGGAGAAGGAAAGCTGAGGGAAAACTGTGGAAAACCCAAGACGATTGCTTGGGTCATTTGTGCGTTGATCTGTTAATCCGAAAAGGGTTTGCCGGCTTCCCATGACGAAAGCTTTTTGGATTTTCCCCCCATTTGATTGAGAGCCCCAAGAAAGCTTCCCCATTAAGCGGGTAAGTTTGTTATGGTTGGGAATATAAAAACCAGAAGAGAGAAAAAAAGAAGGGTTCCTGACCGCAGCCACTAGGCGTATGCGTAATAAAATCAACAACTTAAAATTTAAGCCTCCCACACTCACGCACATTTCTCTCTCAATTAGAGATAACAGATAACTTTAACTGTTTAAACTGTGGACCACAGTCCAAATTTGACCAGAGTTTGTGGTGTTGTGTGGTGTGGTGTGGAGTGTGTGTGTCCCGCATCCAACAGAGTCTCGGTCCCCAGACTCAAAAGTCCTTTTCCTGTGCAGAGTCCAGAGTCCGTAGTCCGGACACACTCGTCCTTGTTCATGGACCTCGTCACTTGCATGCGCCTTTTTGCGTATTCAAGTGGCTGTGCGGAAGTGTTCCATCCGCATTCCGTTCTTTCCCCAAAAACTCTCTCTTTTTTCTCCCCCTTCTCAAAATGACACTCTGAGTGGGAAACGTGGGCGGTAAACCGCAAAAAAGAGAGAGAGGCTCCTAGAAGAAATCGATGTGCATAACATTTTGGGGCCAGCAAAATGACAGTTTTTTTTTCACTCACTGGGAGAAATTAAATCCAATTAGGCAAAGAAGTTAAAGTTAATTGAATTGAAATCAATTTTGTGGGTCTTTGAAGCAATAATAATAAGACTGTAATAACCATTTGGTGTTTCTTGTCATGAAAATGGGAACAAACAATCTCTCGATTTTTGACTTGTTTTTGTGGCACCCCAAAAACTAATAAATTTCTCACATAATTATATGTCTATATTTATAAGGAATGTACCGAAAAGAAACTGCACACTTTGTTTCTACTATAACTTTCATGTTTTTGATTCGATTTCAATTTTTCTTTTTGTTCTTTTTATAGCCAAACTTAAACTTTCAATTTTTATAAACAGAATTAAAAAAAAAATTAACTTCTTATTTTTAAGCGAATTTTTCGCTTAACTCCTCTCATCAGGTTCTGCACACCCTCCTTGGTGACCTTGCCGGCTGCACGCATCCAGTTTTTTTTCATTTCTTTGTTATTTTGGGAGAGACTACCATTTTTTATTAAATTTCGCTTAACGATGGCCCAATATCTCTCAATGGGTCGCAGCTCTGGGCAATTTGGTGGGTTCTCCTCTTTTGAAACAAACTTGATGTTCTCCGCCTCAAGGAGCGCCAATGTTGACCGGGCATAGTGCGCTGACGCTAAGTCTGGCCAAAATATTGTCGACACGTTGTGCTTTCTATAAAACGGTATTAAACGTTTTTTAATGCACTCTTTTTGGTAAACCTCTGCGTTTATTGTGCCATTTGTGAAAAATGGGCTGGTTTTTAGGCCACATGTGCAAATTGCCTGCCATATCAGGACTTTCTCCCCAAATTTGTCCACTTCTATTTTGGTGTCCGAGTCGCTAATTGTTTCACCTTTGGCTTTTGTGTAAAATTGGGGGCCTGGTAATGTTTTTGAGTCCAATTTTACATATATTTCGTCGTCCATTACGACGCATTCCACTGCATCAGTGAGCAAGCGATCATAAAGTTTGCGTACTCTCGTTTTGCCGACTTCTCGTTGGCGCAAACTTTTTTTTGGCACTTTTTGTTTTTTATAAGTCTTTAGGCCCTGCCGTTGTTTTATGCGCTGCACCATACTTACACTCGTTCGCGCTTTTTTGGCCAAATCTCGAACTGACGTCGTGGGATTTTTCTCAATTAAAGCTAGCACCTTCTTATCGACGCTGGCATCCCTTGGACCTTTTTTTCTGCCAGTTTTTGGCAAATCTTTTAGAGAACACGTCTTCCCAAATTTGATAATAATATTCTTAACACTATTAACGCTTACTTTATAGCGTTTGGCTAAGTTTCGGTACGAAACACCGTTTTCTGTGCAGTAATTGTGCACAATTTTTTGACGGACGTGTTCTTCAATACGAGGCATTGCGAAATGTGCAAAACAAATAGTGAAAAGAGAACATGCAAACAACGCAGAATTAATAGAGCTTTCTAACGGTGCACCGCATGGCATGATCGACAGCTCCCACTGGGAGCTTTTCACAATTGAAAGTGTGCAGTTTCTTTTCGGTACATTCCTTATCTATTAATATATTTGTTTATAACAACTCGCTATAGATCTTGAACATATAGTTTGTAAACTAAGTCTTCATAACAATCCTCTTTGAGATACTTCGAGTTCTCTGATGAAAAAACAGGATCTTAGTCTTCAAATTGGTGGAAATTATAGCCCACAAAACACAGATAAATGGTTTAAAATCAGTAAATCAATTCTGGAAATGCTTGGACCCCAAAATACAAAACCCATAGATCATACTCAAAAGTAAACTCCGGGCTCTGATTTGTTTTTCTTATTCCTGATTTGCTTGCCACTCAAATATCCTGCCTGCAGTTATCCAAACCCACTATCAAAGTGCTAAATGTGGGAGGAGCAGGTCCTGAGCCCGCAAATTCAATTTCCTTTGCAGCCAGTCCATCGAGCATGTCCTGTGAACCCAGTCTCTCTGCCAAACTGAAAACCAACTCACTCACTCGTCGTCTCCGTCGTGGTCTATGTGCCGAAGTACTGATGTCGATTGGTGTTTGGCCTGCATATAGACACATATATTTGCCCTGTCGAGTATATATAATATTTATGCCACTGTAAGTGCTTATTGATGTCAGAGATCTGAAATTGGAATCTGCTTGGGCCTTTGTTCTTATTCCATGTGGATGCATAGTGCTGTTAAGCTCTCGCTCGTAGCAATTGCATTGCATTGCGTTTCGTTTCGTTTCGATTTTGTATGGACTCTCAATTAAGCAAGTTGGCATTTTGACGTGTCTGTGTGAGCTGAAACCGAAACTTGTGCCCCGTAAAATGGGAAATTCATATATGCGAACGAAATATTTATAAAGTCAGACACAAGCCTCGGTGTCCCCCATGAGAGTCCTGCCAAGAACGAGGACCAAAAGGAAAAGGAATTGCGAGCATGGGAGCACTGGAGGAACACTGTAGGTGAATTTTGGGGCCGTTGAGGCCACAGTAAAATTTAATTTTAATGCATAAGCAAATTGAATTTAAGCAACAGGAAAATTGTTCGCCTGGCCACAAAGGTGCCGCATGTGGGAGTAGGGAACATGCGCCATGGAAAGCGGTGACTAAAACCATGCCGAGCGCTTCATGCTAAAAGTTTTCACCGGAAAGAGAGCACAGAACTTCCCTAGTCAGCCACAATTACCGGAATGTGGAAATTTTATTCAATTTTCTAGGGGCAAAGTATATTCTAAAAAGTATTCTAAAGATTAAAGAAAGTCACCTTAAAGTAACTCTTAGTTTTCAAGGAAAATATGTAGAATTATGAAAACCAATATTACTAAAACCCATATTTGATTGCAGTGACCCCTAATGTGTTTTATTGGTGTTGTAAACAAAACTTCAAACACTACTTCTGGCTTATCATCCAGACAAACTCCTCATAGTTGATCATTCCATCACCATCAAAGTCAGCTTCACGGATCATCTCATCGATCTCCTCATCGGTCACCTTCTCGCCCAGGTTGATCATGACAAAACGTAGCTCCGCCGGTGAGATGAAACCATCGCCATCACGATCAAAGATCTTGAAGGCCTCTCGCATCTCCTCCTCGGTATCGGTTTCACGCATCTGTTTGACCATAATCGAGCAGAATTCATTAAAGTCAAACTCTCCGGTGGTGTTGGCGTCGGACTCGCTGATCAAATCCTGGAGCTCCGGTTCCGAAAGATTCTGTCCCAAGGTTCGCATCAGGGCACCCAGTTCGCGGGTTGAGACCTTGCCAGTGCCATCCTTGTCGAATTGGGTGAAGGCATCCTTGAACTCGGACACCTGTTCCTCCGTTAGCTCGCTCATTGTGGAATATGTATGTATATTTTTCCGATCGCGATTATTTTTATGCCGAGAAGCTGTTGTTATCCAGTCTGCAGACTGTTTGAATTTGGAACAAGCCAGAAATATTGTTAGACTGACATGTCACAGGGTCCCAATCCCCCAAAAGCACTGCCTGCTTGACTTTAGCTCACTTCATGTCTCTGACATCATGGCCACAAAGCGTACATAGTCAATGTTTCCCTCAACATTGGCATCCGCATCCAGGACTATTTGATCCACCTCATCGTCGGTCATCTGTTCTCCCATATTTTTCATTATGTGACGAAACTCTGATTCGGGTATGAAGCCAGTGCCCTCTTTATCAAAGACCCTGAAGGCACCTATGATCTCGTCCTCGGTTGTCATTGTTGCATATTTCTGGGACATGATGTACAGGAAGTCGCTGAGATATAGTTCCCCAATGCCATCCGGATCGATTTCGTTGAGAATATGCTGCATTTCCAACTCGGTGGGATGGCAGGCCACACTCCTCATCAGGTGTGGCAGATGCTGTATGGGTATTACCTTGTCGTCGGCCTCATCGAACAGGGAGAACGCAATCTCCAGATCCTTCAACTGTGCCTCGGTCAGGTTGTTGGACCGAATGATCCGCTCCTCTGGCGGTGGAGTTGAAAAATCGAAATCCATGGCGAAGAGCAAGGGGTTGGGCCTCTGGAAATTTAGGGGTCTAAAGTTCTAAAGATCACTACAAAACATGTTTTCAAAAGTTGTCCCTTTTGAAGTTTAGTAAAAAATATATACTCCTAATAAAGAAAGGTTACCTCGATGTAGGTTTTTCTATGTTTTTATGCATATTTCCTACATTTAGTTAATTTAGAGGCCATAAAAGTATACGAAATACATTTATTTAAGTCAGCCGAAAGCCGCAGCAGCTATGACTAATATTTATCCTTTAGCTTAGTTAATTTTTAAACAAGTTAATACATTTTTTCATGCTGAACCTTTAATTTCATTCAAATAAATTTATCTTAAGTTAAAAGAAAAGGTTGATCCAATATTTAGGGGCTGGATGGGATGTAATGTTTGGAGCATCAAATCAATCAGCTTGATAAAAGCACTCGATTCTTGTACAGCATTCCTTGAAGTTCTGTTATTAAAATAATCATATTTTGAAGATTATTTATATTATTTAAATAAAAATTAATTCAAGTACTAACCATTTTTCTTAAAAGCTCTTAAAATCATCTCAAGATTCCATCATCATGGTCACAAAACGAACATAGTCAATCTTCATCTCTGTATTGGCATCTGCATCTCGTATCATTTCCTCTATTTCATCCTCGTCCATATCTTCTCCCAATTCGGTCAATATCTGACGAAATTCAGTCTCGGGAATAAAGCCAGTTCCTTCCTTGTCAAAGACACGGAACGCGAGTATAACTTCGTCCTCGGGAGTTGAATCCTCATATCGTTTGGACATGATGTAGAGAAAGTCACTGAGATACAGATCACCCGATCCGTCAGTATCGATTTCGGTGATATAGTCTTGCACTTCATTCTCTGGCAGACTATGGGCCACAGCACGCAAAAGATCCTTCAGATACTTGATGGGAATAACATTGGTATGATCATCGTCGAAGAGGGCAAAAGCCTCCTCAAGGTCCTTCACCTGCTCATCTCTCAGGTTGTGGGTGTGAATGGTCCGCACCTCGGGCGGTGGGGAGCTGTAATCCATATCATCCATGGTGATTTAGGAAATTTATTTTAGAACCAAAAAAAAAAACACTTAAAATTTTGTGAAATTGAAGAAAAAGTTAAAATTTTGTTCTTTCAATTAAAACACGTTCATTTATAAGAATTTTGTTAACTTAACTTAAAGGGAAATGACAGGAAATAAATTCTACTAGATTGATTTTAAAGTAAGCTTTTTGAGTTGAACTTGTTTGGTTATTCTGTTTATAAGGAAAGATCTTATACCTTATAAACTTATAAAAAATAAAAACCTTTTACTTAAGCAATACTGTTCGATAAATATTAAATTTATTTCGCCTTAAAATTGATAAAATAGGCTCACTAATTAAAAAAAAAAAATACATTCTAAAATAGAAATCGGTCATCTTTGTGGAAACTTCACTCAGGACTTGGACACTCAAGGGCACTCTTCATCAATGTCATGAAATCATCATAACTTATTTTGCCATCTCCGTCGCTATCGAATGAACTGATCAATCGCCTCACAGCCTTACTTTTACCCTTGTACTCAGAGTCATTCAATAGCTCCAAAAATCATGTTCGCTTATATAACCATCACCATCTCGATCGAACATTTTGAAGATGTCGCACATCTCACGATCTTCATCGTTTTCAAATTGCGCCATTACAAAGCAATATTCCTTAAAGTCGATCTCGCCATTGCCGTCCAAGTCAGAGGCCCTGAAGATTTTCTCGAGCTCCTTTTCCGAAGGATTCTCACCCATTGACCGTACCATGTAGCCCAATTCCTTTATGGTAATCACTCCACGTTCATTCCTCTTGAGCTGCTCAAATTGGTGTTTATAATCCGCCAAACGTTCACCACTCAGCTCGTCCATGAAGAGGTAAAGGGAGTATTCAACATTATTTGGCTGATCCATGGTATATAATATATACTAATTAATTTTGAAATTTTGACAGCTAAAGTTTTTAGTATTTGTGTTCTATTTTTGGTCAAAGCCGAAAGTGTAATATAAATATTTGATACGAAAGTTAAGTCAAAGTAAAGTTTGTAACAATTTAATTCGTTGGAAATTTCCGGTATAATTTTTTTATGGCCCTTGGCTTGAAGCGATGCGGCAATGTTGAAAAGCATGGGTAATTACATTTTTAATTAAATGCGACGCAGTTTGCTTCGGCTTTTATTTTATTTTATTTTATTTGTGTTTTTATTTCGTTTTATTTTTGTTTGGTGCATTTATACAACGGTTGAGTATTTTGGCTGGCCAGCCATTTTATGCCACCGCCATTCCCTTGGGGCATTAAATGTATATTCTTTTTTCTCTTCTGTTTTTATTGAGCTTTACGTGCAAATAGGAAAATTATCCAATGCGAAATTTTCCAGCAATTTGCATATTTTTGGAGCAAGGAGAGAGACGGAGCCATTTCCTGGTCCATCCTTTCTCACACGTGCGCTCTCCGATGAGACCGAGAATGGGAAGTTCTTGCTAATAAGAAGCAAATCCTGGGCACGAAGGACACAAGGGATTCTGGCTTTTGGGGCCACACAAAACACGAGATTGTCAAGCATTTCTCTGCATAGATTATGGTGGTCAGAATATCTGAGAGTTGTCCAAGTGTTTGGTAAGTGCAGCTTGGAATATGTTTACTATTTGACTTTAATCAGGCATAAACAGGACGAAAGGCTAACACACAGTCAAGCAATCGAAATGGTAACACAGGACCTTTAGAGGATTAGGATAATTTGCATTTCTCCGGTTAAGTTGGGTCACACACTCCAAGGATTTCGATGTGTAAATCTTTTAATGTTTAAGGTAGAGCAATGACTTCATTCCAAGTGGATAGCTCTAAGGTACTATGAATAGAAATATTTGTAATCACATTGTTAGAAAACTATTAGCAATGCAAGTGAGGCAATTGATTGTAAAATATATATCTTTCAAAAACTTCAATTTTGTTCTCTCCCTTAAATATTAAGTCACTTCACTTTTGTGTGCCTTTCCGCTGACATTGGCATTTCAATTAAGCATATGAAGGCAGAATCTGACCATTGGCCACACAATGCGTGGCCCCAAAATCCAATTGAGTGGCCAAAGGATCCAGAAAGGCAGCTGGGCATCGCATTCAGTCGTCGTCGTCAACGGCCAGTTTGCAAAGTAATGCCATTCAATCACGCCAACTGCAATTCGCCAAAGCGATTTCAATATGCGAACACATAGACGGACAGACTCGGCAAGAACGAAACTGGGAGTGAACGTTCTCCGTATCCGGATCGGTCACAAGTGCAACTACGGAAATGAATTATAGCCAACGGTGGCAATCAGTTGGGGCCCACAATGAGCTGGGGCATTTGTGAGAAATGAATGCCGCCGGAGTTTGCTTTTGTCTTCCGCTTTCAATCTCCACCAATGCAGCTGTCGCTTTTCATTAAAAGGCCAACAGAAGAATGGAGAAAGGAAGAGCGAAGTCCTTGTCCGAGTCTGAGTCCGGGTCTGAGTCCGAGTCCTTGTTTATGCACATCATACGGCCTCACACCTCCTTGGGCATTGTGCTGGCCTGCATATGGGGCATGTATCCCTCCCTTCCAAGGCTTCGACTGTGCAAACAACGTACTTAAGCCAGATGGCAAAGAAAGAAATGTGTAGAACAAACCCGGCTCCTTGGACCCCTTCCTTAGTCCTTTTCTGTTTGTTTCTATTTCACTTTTGATGGCACGTGCGTGGAGTGGTTTTTCCCAAGCCAGGTAAGGTTAAGGTGCGGGGGAGTGTGGGTTCTGAAGTGGAAAGGCAAATAATCAAGTCAATAGCAGAAAACTTAACCTAAGGCAAGGAGAACAACAACAAGAAAGATGTCTTGATTTAAAAGCCATAAGGCTAAAAGGATTGTTTAAGAAACGTATGCCTGGAAATTATTCATGAATTGGAATTGGAAATATAGATAAAAGTACGGTGACATTTTTATAAATTATGGCATATATCATTTATATTTTGCCATAAGAGTGTTGTTTCTAGACATAATCCTGACTGAATATTTAGAGAAAATCCAACTAGTTGGTAAATATTTCCGTTTTTCACCCATATGTTGCTCAGGCTCTCAAGATTATTATGCTGAGAGCATCGGCTGCTGCAATGCAACTAATCCCGAAACTTAAAATCCAATCTGGGTATATAACTTTGTTTGACTTTTGTTTGCCGCCGCCTTTGCCTCCCTCCTTTGCCTTGTAGTATTTTCCCTCCTCCATTTTCCCCCCCACCCAAGATCTCACTCTGTTTGCTTTTGTGGCGCAAATTGCATTCTGTGGGTGTCAACAAAACGCAGCTCTCTCTGACCCGGCTTCGCTTTTCCTTTCGGAGAGAGAGGACAGCATGAAACATGATTAAATTACTCATACGCCTCGTGTGTGTGCGCTTGGACAACAAGTTCTATGGTGTTATTATTATTGTTGTTGCTGCTAACACTGCCGTTGTTCTGGCTCACATTTAGTTAATTAAGTTTTACAACAGCGTGCCACATGGCCCTCTTCCACACCGCCCCTTTAATTAGTTTTTAATTATTTCAGAGTTTTTCGTTGAACGCTTTCCAAAAATTTTCCTGTTGCCCTTTTGGGGCCAACAACCGGGCGGGGTCTTTGGTTGGACTTTTGGCTACCAGTTTGCTTTTGAGTTTGAGTTTTAGTTAATTTTATTTGTATTTTGCAAGTATTTGTACACGCCCCCTACTACAAGGAGGACGAAGGGGTGTGGAAAACTAGGGCCTTTGTTCATTTAGCACATTATTTCTACACGCTTTGTTTTAACTGCAGTTGGTTTGTTTGTTTGCCAGCCGCTCGTTTGTTCTTGGCCCGGCTAAAGTTTTTATGCAAGCCCATTAGCCTAATAGCCCAAACAGCAGTCGCCGTCAACCTTGGTTTATTTACTGAAATTAACTTTTCTTGCAAAATTAATATGGCAAGAAACTAACGAGGATTTCATGGAGCCTAACTAGATAAGTTTTTAAAAATGTTACGGTTACTTTATTATGATTAAAGAAAGAAAAAAGTATATTTAATAATGGCAATTTACAAATTAAGGTTCTAAAAAGTTGGGTACATTTATTATTTAAATATTTATTAAACTTCAGAAATTGTTAGTAATAAAAATCGCTGGCAAAATCAATATAATTGGTAACGATATCTGATATAATGCATAACAAATATTTCAATTCATTGCAGAATTTTATATTGTAGAATAGAAAAATATTTCCTTTTTTAATATTCTGCAATAAATTCCAATATTTTTCAGAGCATGAAGCATACAAAAAAATACGGAATCAAAGCGGAATATTTGAATAGAAAAATATGCATTCCATTTAAAAATTCTACAATGACTTTGTATTAAATTTTGAAGAGAAAACCTGAGATTAGAGTCATTGAAATATATTTGTTTTATTCCACAAATATTTAGGTATTTTCCCCAAGTAGTGATGCACTAATTAAATTAAATGACAAACACTACACACTCCTTTTTTTAATAAAGAAAAAACTAATTAAATTTGATGCCCTGAATTAAATGAAGCAATCTGCATGAAAATTGACGATATTACTCCTGTATATGCACACGACTCTTGGCTTTTTTATAGTTTGGTCGTCAACATAACACTGATTGAAATGGCCCAGCCAGCCGGCAAACATTTCACTTTATCAACTTGTGCATATTTAAGCCACGTTTGTATCCCGGCTTGTGTCTGTGAAAATTGGCCTCAAACGAAACACAAATGCCGGTGGAGTCTCAGAGTGAGTGAGAGGGCCTAGAACAAATATTTACACGGCTCAGTGTACGGCATTTGCCATCAACTACCGTAAAACAATAAAATTCGGAATAAACCAAATGGAAAGCGGCAACTGCCGGCTCATGTGAAATGCATGCAAAGCAACAACGCAAACAAAAGCCACAATACAGCATCGCAAATTCAACAACAAAGCCGAAACGAATCGTTTTTCATAACTTAAATTGCAACCAAGCAAGAGTACAAAAAGAGAGAGAGAAAATTGGCGTAGAAATAAAAGAGTGTGACTGGAACAGAGCCTGTGTAAAGTACAAGTTGCAATTGCAAAAAACAATGGCCAAGAAACGGAAAGGGAAGAAAAACATGACTCCTGCAGGAGCAAAATATAAAACAATGCAGTTTGATTTTGGCTCTGATATGTCTTGTCATCTTTATTTATCGTTCATATTCGTAAACCACTTAAAGATCATCAAAACAAAGTTGATTACAGACTGTATAATGTCAAAGAAAGAGGACTCTGTCGCTTCCGTTTTTCCTTCACTTTTCTCCTTAATGTTCTCGGAAACCTTTGTAGCAGAGCAACTCCCTTCACTTGATTCTGCGTCTTCCTTCCATATATCGGAGTTATAAGTTCCACAGGTTTCTATTAATTAGCTTATTAGTTTTTTAATTTTAACCTTAATAAGCTTTTACTTACCCTCTGCTTGAGGTAGACCCAAAGAACTAAAAGCCAGGAGTGCCACAAAAATCAGCGAAATGAACGTCATGACTACCTACTATAAACTGCGAGATGTGACTGTTTCTAGCAGATATTCATGGCCTAATGTGATTCGTCTCGTTGGTAACTGGAACCGATTCTGACAGTTCCTGGACTTTGGCTTTAACTAAAGTTTTTCGCTCCAACTTTCCGTAAACTGCATAATCTTGTTAGAGTCTCTCTCTTCCCCTATATATATCTATTTTTAGAGCTGCTCATCTTGATGCTGATTTATCTGTAATCCAACTTGCGCTTGAGCCACTTAAGGCCGCAATCTGCCTTTTGCCACTGCCACTTGGCAACTTTCCTTCTGACCCTTTTAGGGTTACAGGTGGCTTTTGTAGCAAAGTTCGTTCAATAAAGTTCGCCCTCGGCTTGTTTCTGGCGCTTTGATCATCACATCACATGCGTCTAAAGTGGCTTTGCCATTCTGCCAACACTTTTAAAGCCCCTCCTTTTTTATTTATTTTTTTTTTTTCTTCATTTTTTAGCATTTTCAGACTTTAGCGGCTTTGCCCCGGCGAACTCTTTGAAGTGAAGCTCTTATTTGGGTGACCTCTAGGGAAGAGGAGTACCAACTGTATCAGCTGTTTATATTCAGGTCCTTTAATTTATTGCCTGTCAGGCTGCTGGTCAGTTCGGTTGATAAACGGCCTAAGCCGTTGGCCAGGATTTCTGCCTTTAATTTGGCTACCATTTCTCGAGTCGATTACTTTGCCTTCAGAGAAAAGGTACACAGTGGGAAAAGAAGTGAATTAAATATATGGAAGTAAATGGAAATGAAAATCTTTAGAGTCGCAAATATATATAGTTTCCGGAGTAAACATTTTAAGCTTTATATTAAAGAAAATTAAATTGACTAATTAATGGTAGAAAATATTGATTCATCGATCCTTTACTGGTATTTGATGTGACAGTCTTTTAAAACCTGGTTAATAACATATATATTTTGTGAAGTTTTTCTGTTATTTCTGTTTTTTCCTTTCGATTCACAACTCTTGCAAAGAGCTTTTCTCTTTTTGCAAGTGTATCGTATGAAAATTTGCTTGTCCCTGCAGAAATTAAAGCCATGAAGGTCCTTTTTCCATGAGTAGGAAGTTGTTAGTTGCTGGCAACATGAGAAATAGCAGCAGCAGGAGCAACTGCAACAGGAGCAGCATCCAACTTGTAGGACACTTGCTGTTGTCAAGAGCACGGCGCCGTGTGCAATTATCGCCCAAAAAATAAAAATACTACAGGCCAAGGGGGTTTCCCACTGGTCACAGGTAAGCAGAAAATGTATAAAAAATAAAGGGGAAAACTACTACTACTAGCTACGAATTCACCCAACATTATGTGCTCAAAATGTAAATGTCATTTGGGTGCCCGGCAAACTACAAGTGTTGCAACATTTGAGAAATGTGTTCTGCCGGTGTCACCAGTGTCGCCAGTGTCGCCAGTGAAGTGGCACCAGGACACATCCAGGACACGGTTCGCAGTCCACTTTGCCCCACACTCTATGAATAAATGTTAAAACACAATCGAGAGCCGTAAATTCTGAGCAGTCATCAGATGAAATAGGTGAGGAATACAAAAGGAGAAGAAAGGAAGCGAGCAAATTCTATCCGGACTCCCTCCGGAGGGAACAATGGCACCCGGGAGGAGCCTGAGACAATGCAAAAGAGAAAACTCTAATTGGTATAATAAAATGTCATAAAAGGAAAAGAGCAATGCAGGCTGGCCGATAATTCGCCTGGGACAATGGAGATATAACTCCATTGATGATGTCCCCTGATGGACCGATTTCGATTGATTGCAATCACTATATACACATATATATATAGAGAGATTTGTTGATTGGAATCGATTAGACAGCTCGACACAACTGAGGTAATTTTCCACCGACCAGACAAAGAGATTTCAATCAATTAAAGATAATTTCACAACAGTTCAATTGTCTTCAACATCTTCACTTGACAGGACACACAAGAAATACGAGACTTTGGGTGGTTAGAGCTAAGTGCTACAGCAATTATTATACCCTGTAAAAGGTGTAAAAGCAAAGGCTTTTAAATAATTAGAAACAGAACTGTTTTTTTGGTTGATTTATTTAACATTTAAGTGCTACTTCAGGCAGAACTTTCGGTAGTGAAGTATATACCCCAAAAATAGCAGGTATAAATACCAAAAAGAGACGGAGGAGATTACTCTAAACCGGCTAAGCCACGCCCCTCCACAACCTCCTCATATATCAACTGTCGATGGCTATAAAGCTTCGCATTTTCGCATCCTGCTGGTGGCTCCCTCTCCACTCCACTAAATTCCACCATTCCTTGCCATTCCTCCAGCTCCGCGCGAGTGTACAATCAACAAAATTAGTTTCATTTGGGCAAATGGCATGACTTGGCCAAGGAGGAGCAACTCCTCGACCCACAAAACAGACTCACTCACTTGGCTTAGATAAAAATTTCGGAGAGGGGTCACACGAGGCGACGGTGAGAAATTGCAGAGCTTCTTCTATATACTGTACACACACTCTCAGATACATTTATTTACCTGCTTTTGATGGCTCACCTTTGCTTTTGATCTTCCCCAACTGCTGATAAATGATAAGATGCCTTGGATGCTGAAAGCTAAAGAAAAAATGCTGCAAAGTGTAGAAAATTACGCCGCAGGTGCTGCGGCTGCTTTGGCCCATCAGTTTCATCGGTTTCAACTTCAAGGAGGGGCAGGCCGTAAAGTAAATAATTAAAAAACTGCTCAGAAACTGGGACAAAAAAAGAAGAGGAGAAGGAAATTGTAAGTCAAAAGAAGACCCGCCATGGACATTGAAAGTAAGCCAATGCCAATTAGCGGGTAAACGAAAAAAAATACAAATAAAAAAAAGGTTTACCCAACACTGTATGCACAGTCTTGTGTCCTGGAAGGATACTGGGGGGAAAACTGTCTGTCAACCTGCTGGCCATAAATAATGGCCAGATGCTGGCCATTGCCAGCAATTTATAAATCTGTTTATTGTAACATCCGCGTGAGTCGCGCCTGTAATTTATGTTTCTGGCTTCTAGTTAAGCCTTTGCAAAATCAGCTAATGAGCGTCCGATTGCAGCTTTGTTGGAGTGAAATCAGTTTATATGCAAAAGAGATTTTCCATATATTACGTATACGACGTGTTGCCAGGCTTTTCTCTCTGTCTCTTTGTTGGTCGTGTTTACACAAAGTTTTCTGTTGGCTACGTTTTTGGTCAACTGACTGTCAATATTTTATTGGCATTTCGCTTTTTATATTGCATTCTGCACAGGAAGATACAGGAATATACATACATATGGATGCAAATACATGAGAAACCCCACAAAAGAGAATTATTCACATTGCTAACGATATGCGCAATTTAAAATATATAGCGAAAAATATATGAATATATATTCTTTATGTATATTTTTAAAATACCGTAATATTTTTATAAATATTTTGTAATAAATATATTAATACATATATGGTATTTTTGTATATAATACCATCTCTTTTATATTAAACAAATACTTTCTTTTACTTACAGATTTTCACAATGTACTTGCTATAATGGTGAGTGATTAATTATTTATCTTTATATAATTAAGCCTGAAATATATGTACATATATTTAAAGGTGTTCCCTATATTATTTAATACTTTCTGCACTTAGTTAAAGTAGTTAAAAGAAATCAAATATCTTTAAAATGAATAGAGGATCCTATCTTTTCTCTTCTTTCTCTTCCCCTTTTGAGTTTTTCATATCCTTCCGTTTTTTGTTTACGTTTGCTATCTAATTATATATTTTCGTCTGTATTTAAATTAAATTAAATATGTCTCCTCCTTTTCACAACCATTTAACCCAATTCTATACGGACAGTTTTCTATTTGAAATCCTCAACATTCCTTGTCCAAAATTTTTTTCGACTTTCTTTTGGTTTGGCATTATCTTTTATCCCGCTCTCTACGTTTGTTGAATGAGTGTAGGTCCTTCGTCCTTGCTTTCCATCAACACTCTCATCATTTCCTTTGTTTTGCTATTGTTTATTTCTTTTTTTACTCTTCTTTATTCAGACATGTCATTCAGTAGGGTTCTTTTTTATCACCCAAGCAGCCACTCCCCCTTTGGTCGTACATTTTTTATGTCCTTTTCTTTGTCTTTTTGGAGGAGGAAACAACAAAAAAAGTGAGGAGACAAAGAACTGGAGCACTTTTATATGATGGTACCCCGGTTGCAGCTTCTGCTTTACATTGGCATATATATTTGCATTTTTTTGACTGGTTTACAACCCCTTAACCTCCCAACTCGATTCCATTACTTTCGTATATATAGTTTTCTCTCTTCTTTTTTTTGTGCATATCCTGCTGCTTGTTTTAATTTCGTTTGCCAGCGTTTTGTTCCTGTTTTCGTCTCTTATTTTTTTGTGTTGGTTTTTTGGGGGTATGGGCGGGTCCTTGATGACAGCTATGCGAAATTGCAACTCCAATTCAGCAATCTCCACCCATCGAAGTTGCATTTCAATTGAATTGTCAGCGTTTTGCAGTGAAAAATGTGTCATAAAATGGTGCCTCGTTAGGGTAGCCATTTTTTTTTTCTTTGTAAATCCCCTTTTTTATGAGTCCATAAAAATGGGGAGCTTTGGTTAAGCATTGGAATTTAACTTGGAAAAATGTTTTACTAGGAAAATTCTCATTATTTCTAGAAGAAAAGCGCAGTTTATTTGAATTTTTAAATCATAAAAACATTGTTTTTTAAATTTAATCAAATGCTAAAACATTATTTTTTGTTTTTCAATGTTTTTAATAAGAAAACTATACTAAATCTTTGTTTAAAAATTTCTCCAATTGAAATACATGTTTACTCTTAAATTTTTTCAGTATTGTATTGTTTTTTTGTCATATTTTATTCACTTGTTTTTTCGCCAATACCCCGCAGACACACTCAATGCTCAATTAATTTATAATTTAAATGCACATTGTGTGGCTTAATTATGCTCGTTATGGAGTCATCGCTGCCATTGTTCGGCGACTGTCATGAAACTTGGTTGGATTG